TATACGTGGAATTAGGGACGATAGCAAACTTGTCAACTTTGCTGTCCCATTTAGGCTTATACACTTCTTTCACACTTTCTCCATCTGCATACTTTTTTGTTTTTTTTTTCGAAGCAAACTATGTTCCTAATAAATAGATTGAATCTCTGACTGTTGCGACGTTGAGTTTCGACAAGATCTCTGAGATTCTCTCCGAACGAGAGACTATTCGACTGCTGCTGATCTCTCCGGCCAACGATGGATCTCCCAGACGGGGGTGAGTCCCATTTGAAAACGCTGTGTTTTAGTTTGTTTTCACCCCTTCCATTTTTATTATCACTCATCATCATCATTCAATACATATATTTCCTTGGATCTTATTGGTCCTTTTCCTCGAATCCTCTCTCCTGTTGCTCAATGATCTCTCCTGCTCAACCATAGTGGCTTCAATTTTTTCACCGACTTGTAAATTTTCCGCTCTGTGATTTTCATAGCTTCCCATTTTTTGTTCATAATCTTATTTTTTACCAACCTATTTTGAAATTCATCAAGCTTCTATCCAAGCTCCAAGTTTCATCTTAGAGATTTCTAGGTTTTAAACTTAGAGAGATTTCACCTCTATTACTGCTCCCCAACACTTCTGAAGTGATTGCTCTTTGTGCAAAAAAAAGTACAAAAAATACAACCATGCTTTTAGCCATATCTTCTTTGCTCTTAATCCTCCAATCCTCCTATAAACTTTTCGTCTTAAGAAAAGTAGCAAAATACTCATTAACCAAAGGTTTGGATGATCTGAGATGATTGTTCTTTCAATGTTCTTTCAGTGATTGTTCTCATCTATGCTCTTTCAGTGATGTTCTCTCATGCTCTTCCAGTGATTGTTCTTTCAATATTCTTTCAATGTTATTTTCATTCTTTCCTTCGTTTCAGATGCGAAGATCCCCATTGCCCCTGCCGTCAAAGGCGTTTGAACATATGATGACGCCGGATGCGTTTGCTAGACAACCCATCAGGTTGGGTCGATTTTTCAAAACGATGGTAACTTATCTAATGGGTGTACGAATATTACTCCACCGTTTTTCTATTTTCTGTAGTGATTCTAAAAAATAGACATATGCAAATTTTTTCTTTTGTTTGATAGTGTATTAAAAACGCTATTCAATCATACGTTTTCTAAATGAAAAATGCTTTATGTGATGATTTTTATAGGACTTTGAAGACGACTTCTGCTCCCAAAAAAAACATCATTTTCGAGAAGCTTTACTTTTCATGTTTAATTCAAAGAAAACCCAGCAAAAAGGAAAACTTTTCTTGTATCAGATAGTGACGAGTGACAAAAGGGGATTCATTTTGCCATTCCAAAGCGCAAGTGATCATGAACAACCTCGAACAACCAGCAAAATCGACTGTAAAACGGAAGCAATTCACGAAAAGAAGGCTAGGTGTCGGAATCAGAAAGGTGTCCACTACTACGGGCTATTGAAATTTGGTGAATCGCGGTTAATGCAGCACTTTATCTATAACAATTTACCAAATTTAACCGTGAATGCAAATAAAGCGGCTGCAATGGAGCGTAAGACACGACAAAGTGATTCGTGATGTATGATAACTCTCGGACTCATATTTTAACACCGACTGAAACGTCATAGAAGGCTGAGGTGGGAGGTTTTCGGAGGTTTTATTTTATCCGCCTTACTCTCACGACAATGCACCGTCAGATTATTACTTGAAGTGACCAAATCGAAACTATAAGCTAGCACATTTTGAGAAATTTTAGCAAAGTTTAGCAAATTTTACCAGTATCAATTACAAATTTTTTTTTGATGGCATTCAAAAATTCTCCAAAAATGGCATCTTGCAATCGTTAATGTTGGAAATTATATTTAAGTCGACTTCATAAATAAAAAGTTTCCAAAACCTATATATTAGACGGCGCTAATTTTTTAAGACAATCTCATTTGCTGGACAGGAACTTTTCATTGGAATGTCAGCATTCATTCGAAAGCTTACATCTCTGACTACAGCCTCATATCGCCTTTTTTCAGAACACTTTTTTATATCGCTGTAAGATCCAGAATAAAATTATGTTTCACACTCGCCATTCGCCTTTATTTTTATCACGCGTATAATTCGCAGGAAGCACGAAGAGCATGTCAGCGTGTAGAGGATTTTCTGCAGTATCAGTAATATGCGTTTTTGTCTGAAGTATCTGTCGATGCGATGAAAAATATCCCCAATTGAATAGCAATATTCAAATGCGATCGATTGCTCCGCCCATGTGTCGCCCACATCCCCTTCCCCCCGCTCCGTGAATCAGCTGGTAAACAAGTTTGTCGAAAATGTAAACATTCGATCGATTTTTTCTGTTAGGCATTTCCGGGAAATAAGCAATAGGGAATCACTGGAACTTACGACAACGAACGATTATTATTAGTCTAAAGAAGGAACTCTGTCCGGCGAGGTTTGGAGCACAAATCTTTTCCTTCTCCTACAGTGTTATCAAAAGTGCGTTTGTAAAAAGCAAGCACATTTTTGAGTTCTTCGAAATTTGCTCTATCGAATAAATGCTAACACTCCAGGGCAGGAGTTTTGTTAAGCGAATAAGCGAGATAGAGAAAAAATACGTGGTCGTGTAAAACGAAAATCCATTTTGGATTTTACAGCGCTATGAGTGGGATTTTGAAAAAAACGACTACGCAAAGCTTCAGCTAGAGAATCAAGCTTTTGAATGATTACTAACACTCATATTAAAGGTCCCTGTCCAGCGAATGAGATCGGTTTATAAATTTGTCGCTGTCAAACATATAAGTACCAAATTTTTTATATTGATTGTATATTTGAGCCGTAAAAAACGGGCGGAGTCATATTGTGCACCTAATAATTTCTGTGATGTCCTAAGAGGCTGAAGGGATAGCTGTGGAAGTAATACGGAAGTGCAAAATGTTTGCATTTTGTTACAAAGCACTTTAATAAATCAGTGATTTTTTAGTTACCAAGAAATGTTTCGAATGCGCAATCGAGAGTACGGTACATCACCAGCAAGCAGCCCGGCTAGTTCGTTAGAGGATCGTTCCTTTACATTTAATGTTATGAAACAACGATTGGGACGGAATGAAAGCCAATAGCGCTTGGTGGGAAAAAACCTTTGTTTAATTGTACTGCTGCGATTAATAAATATCATGAGCACGCCTGATAATTTTCTTTGAGCAATGCATGTGATCTTTCAATGGGCACTTATACAATGCAGTGCACATGTTTCGACCTTATAGCCTCGTCAGTTGCACAGTGCCTTTGTCTTAGCCGATCTCTCTCTCAATCCCTTTACTTAGAGAAGACGCAGACGTAGTATTTACACGTGCCATCAGGTGACAGAAATCTTTAAATGGACTATTTTGTTAACTCGATTGCTTTTGGCTGGTATTTAGGGAATATCATACCGTTCGTCTTATGCGTTTTCTCTAAACGGCACTTAAATTTCAAATGTGTGATAACTATTGTTGATCCGTGCATGTGGTAAGTAAAGATGTATATTCCCCCCCCCCCCCTCCTCCTCCCCCCCCCCCCCTCTCCCCTCTCGCCCCAGGGGGTATTGGCTAAGACGAAAGGCATTGTGCAACTGACGAGGCTGCAAGGCCGAAACACTTTTATTGTACTCTGTAAGTGCCCATAACAGATCATATGCGTGGCTCAAAAGTATTTATCAGGCATGTTGAAGTTTGAAACGTGGTTCTAAAAAAAAGTCGAAACGAACGGTATGATATCAGTCAGCAATCTCATTTTCTCTCATGACACTGGCAACTCACTAATTTCAGTGACAGTAATATGAAAAAGAGGCCACATCACAGGCGACAGAGGTGTAGTAGTGCTGAGGCCATTTGCAAAGCGTAGGATGGCCAGGAAAATATGGCTTGTCTCTAAAACATCGTATAGCACGTCAATTGTGCCACATAAAATTAGCATCATGACGTAACAGAGGTGAATATCGCTTGGCAAAGGATTTTTCTTGGTTTCAGCTGCGTGGCAAATACGTCTTTCGATCCGACCATTCTACGCGGCTCTATACATGACCACGCGCGCCTGAATCCACCGAAAACCGTTGCTCCGTGCGCAGTCCGACGAATACCTTCGATCGGCTACTTCTAGGGAGAACAAAAAGGTTTGGAATCCCGATATATTTATGCGTATCGTATAGCACGTCAAATAAACCTTTTCCTAATCAGGCCAATCATGCAAACAAATTATTACAAAAAAATAATCTCATTATCTTTCCTTCCTACTTTCTCGCTTTACTTTGGGATTACCAAGCCTGATATATCTCACATAAGGAGATCTAGATCTTTTATATATTGAAAAAAATTATCAGCAGATCCTTTCATTATTATTTGAGCCAACCATGTCATGTGGTCTGGTAAAGGCTCTTGTACAGCCCGAGACACGTGTTTCGTCCTTACAGACTCATCAAGCCGGGTAGAAACCCGTCGTCTGTCGATCTTTTCATAGTCAGTTCTCTCGGGAGCATCACACTCCTTATATATAGTTATCGACGACCTACGCTTTACGCTCTTTGTCAGGTGAAACATTCACCTAACACAGAGTGTTTTCGCACTCGATTGCTAGCTGGCTGGTATTTTATCGTAAATATACCTTTCCTTCTGCCCGGCTGATGAGTCTGTAAGGACGAAACCACGTGTCTCGGGCTGTACAAGAGCCTTTACCAGACCACATGACATGTTGGCTCAAATAATAATGAAAGGATCTATTGAAATTTGAGCGTGGTCTTAATAAAGCACTCGAAGGAAAGGTATATTATCAGCAGAGGTAGAGACTCGAAGAGAGGACTTTATAGAGATGAGACTGATGTGTCTGATAGCTGTTGTGCTATAAGTTTCCAGAGATTTTGAAAAGTTATTCAACACTACGAGTTGTGGATGATCAATCAATTTTTTTTTCAAATTACCGCCTCTAGCGGTGGGATGATGTTATGATATACTCAGTAAATGTGAAGTTATGTGCAAAACTTTTGCGTCAGCTGGGAATCGAACTCAAATTTCACCCTATCCGAAGGCGCGTGCTTGAACCGTTACATCACCGACGCCTGTTTTGATACCACTCTTTCTACGCTAAAACGCATCAATCTGTTAACTATTAATCGTTAACGGTGTATCATCAGTATCAGGTAAGTACCAACGGTATAGGTATACCGCTGACTTTTGATTGCTGACAGATAATACGTTGTAGCGTAGAAATAGTGATGTCAAAAATAGGCGTCGGTAGTGCAACGGTTCGAGCACGTGCTCCCGGATAGGGTGATATGTGGACTCGTGTTCCATCTGACGCAGATACCCTTCTAGTACAAGAAGCGGGCTTTTGCTATCACCAGCTCCAAATTATTCTATACACGACAATACATTCAGAATGATCGGTGTACCTTTATTTCTAACTTATTTCCTATTTTTTCGGCTTAGTTCACAATCAGATAAGTGCACAAGGTGTAAAAAAGGGGCGCTAAGTTGTAATGAGGTATATTTTTATAACTATGACAAGGTGGAACTCAGTGAGCCACACACTGCAGATAAACGGCGCAATAGAAAAATGTGATGCTTCTTGGGTGTTTCTAGAGAAGACTAGCTGTAGTGTGTGATAACGACTAATGCAAACTTTAGGATGTGAGTGCTTCGCTCGCAGCACTAATGAAAAAAACGAAATGAAATGAGATGAGCGTTCAGTCATAATTTCTCACACCCACACAACCGCCTCGCAGGCAAAGCATTGTCGGTGCTCAGTAGCATTTTAGTGCTTTAGATCTTAAAAAATTCCTGGCACAACGGAAAACTGGTTAATGAAATTCATTCCTTTTTTAGACAGAAATATAACTCTGATTTATGAAATCATGGTAACTTATAAAAAAACCAGAGGATATGATTCATTGTAGAGCTGTTATATATATTGAAAATGAGGTGATTAATATCTGGAAGAATTCAGTTGATCTGTAGTGTTGTATGGTGGATGACATGACAATTTGAGCGCCCTCAAAGCTGTTGTTCGCAAACGACAAGGAGAATGGATAGCCTTTTCGCTTCCTTCTGATTAGAGCAAATGAAAAAACCGATCTCCTTCGCTGGGGTGGAACTTTTCATTGGAGTGCTAGTAATCATACGAAAGCTAAGGCTTGAGACTACCGTTTCAAGTCGCCGGTTTTTCAAAACACCCACGTTGTAGCATTCATATTGAAAACTGTGTTTCACACTCATCTTTTGCTTTCATTTTTATCAAGTGTATAATTTTCTGGAAGCCGAAAAGCATATCAATGTGTAGAGAAAATTCCGTAGTATCTTAGTCGATCGTTTTGTTTAGAGTTTCTTTTCAAGCAAAGGAAAAATCTCCAATTGAGTAACAAAGTATCGAAGGCCACGCCTCACCCCGCCCGTGACCCGCCCCTTTCACGGCCCTGTCCTTAACGAATAGCCTGTAAGCAAAGTTACTGGGAATTTGAAATTCAATCTAATTTTCTCTACTCAACCGTAATTTCAAGAAATAAGCACACCGTTAGAATCAGAAGAGTTACACTATCCCACAATTACTAATGATCTAACGAAAGTGCTTTGTCATGCGAGGCTTGAAACACAAAGCATCGCCCGGAAGAGATCAAAGGATAAAAAGCTTTTTGAAAAAGCAAACACATTTTTGAGTTTCTTGAAGCTCGTGCTACTGTTTGAGTACTACGCTTTGAGGAAGGAGTGTTGTCCAGCGAAATATAAGCGCGAAAAGAGAAAAAAGCGGTGGTTTGTAAAATATACCTGAACAATTTTATAAAGGGGTGTTTGGAAAAAACTGGCGACATGGGGCTATAGTAGCAAGTCTCAGCTTTCGAATGGTTACTAACACTCCTATGAAAACTTCTCCATCAAATGAGATCGATTTTTCATTTGTTCCCTCCTAATCAGAAAGAATCTCTCTTTCGTTTGTTGTTAGGCAGAAAACCTTTTTGTTCTTCTGCCTGATCAGGTCGGAAAAAGCAGTTCATAGAAATGTCTGTGTTTCTATTCAAGTATGCTGATTTGTCCATATTTCAGATTTCGCTCTCGGCACGTGAATCAATTAGCGAGCAGGAAACTGCTGAATTTGTGCGTTGTCAACAGAATCTCGAACGAGCATATCAGGAGAAAAGGGCCCTAGAAATATTGGTTAAGCAACTCAGAAAAACAATTACTCCATGTAAGTTTTCTTCGCTTTATGTACGCTACATCTGACCGCCGCTCAAGTCGGCATGCAACACAGTGTCTTTCACGTGATCTCTCAAACCGAACCGCTGATCAGAATGAAATCTGAGTCTACTGGCTCCATGTTCTGGAAAAGTCATGAATCTCTTTAAGATGATCTAACTATATGTCTGAATAATCGCAGGTTTTTTTCCTTGAAGACAAGAGCATTTCAGGAGCGTCAGTCCCACGAGAACACAAGACGAGAACTTGAGCGGCTCAAGACACAACTGGATAAAAAATGACTCTTATTATCACGGAAATAAAATATGCAATAATATATCGTTTGTACGAGAAGCATCCGAAAAAATATATTGGTAGAAAACAATTGACAATTACTGCAATTATCAGCAAAACAATGTTGGAACAGTCGATGGTGTTTGGTGGAATAGCTAGCGAACGATCCTCGCAAGATGGCTGTAATGGTACCGATTGAGTTGATTACTGCACAGACTTCATCTTTGTCTTGCGTGACAATAGCGTTCAACGTTTCCCCTACGCAAATTAGGCTACCGTAGACTTTTGTGTCTATCTTGGGACTGAATGACTAAGCAAGTCTATCGAATCGTTGCAATCATTAGAAGCAACTATGCTATCTCCTCTCAATCTTCCAAGGCGAGCGCTCAGTCTGATTTCATATCAGTCGTTTGTGTATGGGACGAAACCTTCACATTGTGATCTCTTGGCTATGCGTAGTTGAGATGCTCAGTTGCTAAATATATGATATTAAGTTGGATGCAAATACCATGTAAAAAAGCCTATAGATTGAAGCTCTGCTCGTTTGGAGAGGCTGACGCTCTTTACATGCGAAAAATGTTATTACTAGCCAACTTGGCATAGCACTCGATGCTAAAGAAGCAGCGCAGATTTCCTTCATGGTTTATTCACAACAAAAGAGACTTACTTGGTTAGATTGGATGGTTCTGCCTATCGCAAGTCGGTTTTTCTTGATTTTCGAGGACTGACGGTAAGATGGAAAGCAGCACTTGCGCACGGTCGTCCAGTGGGGACGACTATCGTTCTTACGACACCAATCTGGTTCTCCTTCGTGACGTCTCCGAACATGACGTACAAACTAAAGGTGTTCATCAAATATGTGTTCAACAGATTTTTCTCACCCTCTTTTTAGGCTTACTCATTTTGTAGCATTGACTACTACTGCTTTTGATATCTGATTTTAAGTCTAAAAAATGGCAAATTTTGCCACTATGAAGTTCACAAATGCACTTCGTAGTGGTTTTTCCTTGGTTATATTGCTGCTGAGCATCATTTCAAAGATTAACTTCTGCTCAAAGACGTAACAAGTTATACTGAGTCTGGACCTCAGATGTAGACATCCATACAATCGACTGCTTTTAAACCTCCCTATGAACATTTAATATTGCCTGTGAGCCTTTTCAAGGTTGGTTATCGATTAGAAGGAAGTGTACATATTCCTTACCAGCCATAATTCATTAGGTACTACCACCATAACGTCTCCCATTACTGCTATAAAGTAGGATGAGTGTGGGGCGAGCGCCTGTTATGAAGCGAGCGATATCGCAAAAACGTAAGTACGCCACTGACTACCAACCTCGAAAAGGCTTCAAAAAATCGCAAGGACTCAATTTACAGTGGTTTTCAATGATCCTAAGCTGATTAATAAAACAATCCGTGTGTGAATTCTAAAGTTGCATGTCCCAGATGTAGAATTTGAAATTGGAAAAGATCATGAGCGTGTGATAACAAAAGCAGGCGCTCTTATATAACCAGCGATAAGGAAGCCCTCGAAAAACTATTTGAAAGACCAAAAAAACGGTCAATATTTACAATCAATGAGCCATTCTCATCTAGGTTATAGTGTAAAGGTGGAAAAGCTTGACTAGGATGCTGCAGGGATTGAGTTATTAGCGGCCAGTCAAAGTGATAATGAGCAATCCGCACTCTTTCAATACAAAAAAATCACCCATTCACTATTCGCATAATGATGATACGTTGAAAAAAACTTTACTATAAGGCAGTCGTAGCGTTCATAGGTGTTTCTGGAATGGTATCATTCTTCCTAGCGCGTTTTAAAATCTAAATTGAACCAAAAGATGGCCATAACTGGAAACCTTGGTAAATGAATAGTAACGGAATGAAAATATCGCGAAATCGATAAGTTCCACATAACATATGGCATACAGATCCCGCCACAGTCAAGAAAAACCCTACCCATTTTCACGACACGACGACATGTCAAACTAGTGCCCCGAAAGTGTAATAACTAATCTGAGCTACGCGTTATCCTGTTTCAGTCAGCGCATCCATTGGATCTCCACTAATTATCACCACTATTTTCGACTGTGATAAGTGCTAGCTGAGAAAGTTTTTAGCTATCAAACGCCTATTATGAATAACATCGAAAATTTTTCTTTTCTTCTGCTTGACGCATTACTACAGGCGCGTCATATCATTCCTCGTTATTCCAAAATTGTATTTACATGTCCATAAACTCGCTTAACGCCGGGGACAAACACTTCGAAGGCACCTGTAGCCATTCGCTTCCTTTATTAATTCTTGAAAATTCATGAGGTCGCTTCAATCGTTATTTTAACCCTTTTTAATTTGACTAGGTCCTTTCTGTTACACCCTATTCACCCATACAATGCTTTTAGTGCTTATTTTTGTCTTTTCCTCAAGGCCAACATAGGTAATTGCTTGTTAAAGTGGATTTAAAATTTGAGTTTGATTAATTTTTTTAAAAAATCACCATAAAAATGCGGTGATGCTCAAGAGTTTTTGCCGTAGTGATGACTTCCGTGCACACGTCGAACAGAGCGTCATATCCACCAAATGTTATGCTCACGAGGGACTT